CGATCTTAGTCAGTTCTGACATTTTCTCCCTATTTTCTGGGGGACCTATAAGGTGCAAAGCGTGGGGCTGGGGGTGGAGGTGTGGGAGGCTGCAGTATCTGGTCCTGGTTTGTCCTCATCTAACCAGTCTGGCTGGCATCCCTGAGAAGTCCTTGTCTCCAGCTAGTCTCTACTTGTAAGGCCAGGCAGAACACAGCTGTATATTCGTCCTGCCTCCAAGCCCTTGCCAAACCTCTCCCTCCTCTCTTCCCATGTGCTCACTTTCGTGTGCTCTCTTGTTCTTTCGTGTGAGCGTGTACACACACACACACACACACACACACACACACACACACCTGCCCCTCTCTGGTCTCTAGCAGCTTCCCGGCCACTCCTCACCATGACACAGAACCATTAAAGGCCTCCTGATCAACCTTCCATACCACCATGGGGGTGGGGGAATTCTGTGCTGTTGCTGATTCCTGGGCTTTCCTGGAAGTGGACACAGATCCCTTGTCTTTCTGATTCCCCCAGTTTTGATGAGATTTATGTCCTCCTGTCGTCCACCTCTTTCCCCATGGTGAGGCAGGACCCAGAGCCCCTTCAGCATCTAAGCTTTCTTGCTTCCCCTCCAAGTCTCCTCTTCTTCCTATCCACAGGGTGTTTACCTAATCTAGGAGCAGAGCAGTCTAAATGTACCTCACTTCTTCTCAATCTCTTGCTTATGGCATCAACCCTGGGTCCTGAGTGCTTAAGAACTTGGGGTTTTGATGTTCAACTTCCAGGTTTGTGCAATTCAATAGCTTTGGCTTTTGAAACTCCAACAAGAATTGGCTCTTGTGCTATCTTCAGTCTGCTGCGCGCTCCTTCCCTGAGGCAGAAAGGTGGGATGCCCTAGTGGCCTGGGGCAGGGAAAGGGCCCTAGATTCAAAGAACTGTGGAGGAAAAAGGGCTTGATTACCACAGTGACTATATCAGAATATTATCGTGTCTCAGAAGGAAGGGAGTGTCACTTATCGAGTACCTACTGTGTGCTAAATATTACATTGATATATAAAATTAGTCTTTAAAACAGCCTCTGGAATCAGGGTATGATACTGTTACCTGCATTACCTAATAAGAAAGCAGGCACAGAGAAGGAAGTTGCTCGAGGTCCAGCAGCTGGTAAGGATCAAAGCCAAGATTCAAATTCAGATTTGTCTGACTCCAAAACCCACATCCTCTGCACCTCACCACCCCGAGCTCAGAAATGCATGATGGTATCCTTAATTGGCTGTGCAAATTTGGACAAGTCAGTTTACCTCTCTGGGCTTCAGTATCCCCATCTGTTAAAGGGTGTGGTCTGAATGTCTCCTGCTCTTTCCAGCTAAAACCTTCTATGATTCCTGAGGCCTTGGAAGCCTGTGATATTGTTCTATCAGGAGCTCTTGGTTAATTGACAGATCAAGATAAGCACTTGGGTTTTCACCTTGGAGTTCAACTTTAATTACCAAACTCCCTGCTTTCAACTAAATAAGAACTATCCTTCTACAAGATTCTACCTCCTGCAGGATGTAAAGTTATTTATAGTTGGGTGTGAACAGGGTGGACATTGTTCTGCCTGGAGCAGTATACTCAGGGTCAGCATGATACTGTGGAAGGGGCACCATGCAGAGGAACCCAGCGATGTCACCAGGTATAGAAAGATTGGAGCATTCACTCTCACCTGGGGCCAACTTGCTGGCACTGGACAAGGGCTTCTAATGAGAGTGGGTTGGCTCTGGGCTGTCGGTCCTCCTTCTCACTAAGGCAATGCCTGAGACCCCCTACCCTGTTTCTCCACCTGCAGGCTCTCCCCTGAAACCTGTCACCCTGCAGTGCCACCTTTGAGGTTTATCTTTACTGGACCCCTTCTCCGGAGTGAATGCTTATGCACAAGGAGGGACCAGCACACAGTGGGTCTCATCTGGGCTCACTCTCCACTAGGAGTGCTAGAGGTTGGCCTTGACCCACTCCACTTACCTCCTGCCCAGGGGCAGTCAGGACTGGATCTGTTAAAGACTTTGGTTACCTTCCTTCCTTCCAGGTTATGCCCAAAGAATGCCCTATTCTAGTGATACTCGGGCTCCTTCAGCCTCAGAAACATGAGACCTATATACAAAAACTGGCTTCAGTTCTGAGTTTCTGATCTCCTTCCTGGCCAGAGGGCAGGAACCCCCAAAGACGGTGTCCTTAGGTGTCAGGCTAGGCAACTCACAGCCACCATCATGAAACTGGGAGCTTGGAACCTGCCAACAGTTTTGAGCAATAACTTCCAGTGGGACTCCAGTCACACAGCAGCCAACAGAGAGCCAGATTTCAAATACATAAAAAAGGGAGCTAGAATGCAAAGTCAAGAGGACTTAGAACCATAGAGAGCCTGCACAAGGGGAGGTAGGAAGACCAGATGCAGGAGGACTCTCAGCCCATGAGCACATGTAGGCTGCCTCTCTGTTTTTATGTGGACCCTGTGGCTGCCCTGAGGCCCCAAGGACACAGCCCAAAGGGGGCAGTCTGATCTCCAGTGCAGTCTTGCTTTGTACCTAGAAAAATCTTCCAAAGATGGGGATACCCTTGGTGCTTGTCAGAAGTTCGGAACTTTTAATCAGTTCTCTTGGGGAACTGCTACAGGAAAGACACGGGTGTAGAAAGCTTTTTCTTGGCTAGAAAACTATATTGACTACAGAATAAGCCTTCCAAGAATGAGACATAAAAATAGATTGTCTCCTCTGCTGAGTAGTGTGAAAGGCCGGAAGAGAGAGGGACACTATAAACCCGTTCCTGTGTTTTGGGAAAGGAGTGACTTACTTGTTGGACAAAGGCTTCTAATGAGGGTGGGTTTGCCCTGACGGTTTATTGGTAATTATGGAGTGTAAAGCTGGAAGGACACCCAGGACAACGATTTTCAAATGGTCTGAAAAACCTTAGGGTTCAGGGAGATCCCCAGGGGGTCATCGTGCAGGTAAGTGAAGAGCCAAATTCACCAGACCACCCCTCCCCAACTTTAGCCAGAAAAGTTTGGCTTTAATCTTTGTATATATTCGGGTCTGTCAAAATGATTTCATGGCTAAAGAAATGTTTGGAAGCCCATGAGCTAGGCCAAGGAAAACAAAACAAAACAAAAATGAGGTTCAGAGAGGCTGAATGACATGTCCACAGAAAGTGAATGGCTGAATCAAGATGAGAGCCTGGGCCCGATGCCACCTCCCATCCAGGTGCAACTTAATACCATAAAATCCTGCTAGGAGGGGAAAAAAAAAAGAAAGATGAGAGCCTGGGTCTCTTTTCTCCTTCCTCCACGTTAGTTCAGGAAATAGTTATTTAGCACTGTTAGGTGCAAGGCACTCCGCTTGGTCATGAAGGAGTACCGTGATGAGACAGACGTGGTTACTGGACTCCAAGGGGCTTAGGATCTAGTGGAGCTGAAGATTTGGTTCCTTTAATACTACCTTAACATACGTAGTTTACTGATGCTCAAAAACTGGAAATGAAGCACGGTATTGTAGCTTTCCATATTGATTCAGTCAGTACCTTTAGATCTTTGCATCCCACGGTCTTCTGGGTGCTGTTGAGAAGTCACCTGTCTAATTGTCTTTGTAGGTGACATGCCTTCTCTCTCTGGCTGCTTTTTTTTTTTTTTTCCTTTTTGTCTTTTTTCGTGTCCGGCAATGGATCGCAACCCTCAGTGTTGGGCCCGTACCGGCAACGGGATCGCAACCCTTGGTGTTGCTCCCACGCCTCGCTCAGCCAGTGAGCAGGAACCGGTCTGTATGTGGGATCCGAACCCTCGGCGGGAGCGCCACCACACTCCCAAGCGGCGCACTGTAGCAGTGCGCCACCGGGCCGGCCCTCTCTGGCTGCTTTTAAGACTGTCCCTTTGTCTTTGGCATTTTACCATTTCACTATGATGTATCTAGATGTGTGTTTTAATTTATTTATCCTGCTTGGGATACATTATACTTCCTGAAATTATTAATTTACTTGTTTTATTAATTCTGGAGAATTCTTAGCCATTGCTTCTTCAAATATTTCCTCTCTTCCATTCTCCGCCTTCTTTTTTGGGATGTTGATTAGCTGCATGTTAGACGTATGTAGTCTGCCATAATGCTGGAGGGGGAAGATCTCCTTCAGTTTAAAGACTCCTGCTTATGAATGCCCTGTGCTGCTGCTTTTTGTCCTAAATCTTCAGGTTTAAAGCCCTGTCATCCTGTTCTTCGAGAGATCTGGCAGGCATGATACCTAAAGAAAGAAATGGATGAGAAGCACAAGTTAAGCCTTGTCTTCCTGGAGAGCATTTCTAGGTTTTCTCTTGCTAAAGGAGGCTGTGGCTTGGCTCTTTCTGATCCTGTCCATCTCTGTCTGTTTTCCTTTTATCCCCTCCCATGTTGATAAAAGTCTTCACTTTTGTGACAGTTGCATTCCTTGCCTTTGAATAGTGCTTTATAGATTGCAAAATACACACACACTGACTCAGTAGCCTTACATACCAAGTACTGTTCCAGGCATGAGGGTATAGCTGACAACAAAGCCCTTGCCCTTACAGGCCTTAGATTACAGTCTAGCTGATGGCAGATAATAAATAAACAAACAACACCATAATACCAGAGAGTGATAATTGGCATGATAAAAAAAAAAAAAAGATAAAATGGGGTTCTAGGGGTGGACGGGGCTGGATGAATGAAATGAAGGGAGGAGCCATGTGAAGAACTAGGGGAAAAGCTGCCCAGGTAAAGCAGCAGCATGCACAAAAGCCAAGGCAGGAAAGAACTTGGCGTGATCTAAGAGCAGCTGAAGGGCTCTGTGCCTACAGTGGCCCGAGAAAAGGGAGAGTTGGGGAGATGAGAGACAAGAGGTGGCTGGCGGACTCATTAAGGAAGATCTAAAGGAAAAGTTTGAGGAAAGAAGGAAAGTCTGACACTTGGAGGTTTGCTTCCCATTAAATAAGAAGAACCCGTGTGCTGGGTTTTAACAAGTCTGCCTCTATTTGCTTGTCTCTTTCACAGGCTTACAGGTTTTCCCAGCTTCCTGAGATGGTCATGGGCTCTCCGCCTCCACCTGTACCTCCCCGGACTGGCCCTGTGGCTGTTGCTTCTCTCAGGCGGTAACACGTTCTGTCCTTTGCTTCATTTGGAATATTTGGAAAGGATTTGGTCCTGTGTACCCTGACCTGACAGTAGCCCTGGCAGATTTCCTTCATGCCCCGCCCTGTGTAGGGTGCATCCCTTGTACAGACAACCACGTGCCTGGGGCAGCCAGAGTACCAGGAATAAGTAAGGACGCAGAGGGTTGGCCAACTTTCATATCTTTCTAAATGGGAGGTCCTTGAAAATCCATAGTCGAAGAAGTCCAAGGTCAACTGCCCCTACCTTGAAAGCCCCACACCCTGACATTGAACATCTAAAAATTACTCCAGCTCGGGCCACCAAAACGGCTGCTACAAGTCTGGTGCCTCCTGCTGTGTTTGCTCACCCAGAAGTCCCTTTGATGTTTAAGGGTGGTGGCTGAGGGGCCAGGGAGGAGCGGGTGTGGGCACCCACCCCGGCTCTTGACTTCCGAGAGGAAGAGCCTGAAAACACATGAACTCAGATGTGTCAATTGTGAGGCACGTGTTAAACATTCTCTTTGCCCCATGATGGTAGGAGCAGCACATGTTTTTAATAAAGATAGATAAGTTCAAAAGCCATGAGCACTGGGAAAGTTGGAATCAGCATGATGGGAGGGTTGGGAGAAATGACTGTGCCCTGGGGCATGTATGGACCGCTGCCCAGGTCCTCCTACCCCAGCCTCCCCCCAGCATGCTGGTCACACCCCATCTGTGGACCACAGATCTGGACTTTGTGAAAATAATGAAGAAAAACATGAGTTTCCTTCAGAAAAGACCCTGCCCTCGTTTCCAGTGGTTTAGAATGTGGAGCTGTGTAGATACCACCCCTTGACCCCAGCTGAGCCCAGGGTGGGATGGAAAGCAGCAGACCAGGGTTCCAGTCCCTAGTCTGCCAGGGACCTGCTGTGAACCCCAGGCAAGGTGCCTCACCCCTCTTTACATAAAGGCAGTGGCCTAAATGATTTCCAAAGCTCTGGGATTCCTCAGAAAAGTGTTCGGAGCAGAACCCAGGAAGATTCCTGGAACGGGTTTTTGAATGAGCAGCGATGCCTGGAACAGCATGTGGGAAACGAAGACTGTGGGAGCAAGCAGGCAGGAGAGGGGAGGAGGGAGCCACCAGCACCTGCCCTGACATCTAGTCAGATCATCACACCCTCTGCCTTTAACCCTCCTGGGGAAGACTAGGGGGCTATCAGTTACTCCGGAGAGCTCTGCACTGGAGGGCCTTCGCATCAGCTGTCTGTGCAGGTTTGCTGAAGGTCAGCACCTACTCCTTATCTCTTCTCTCAGCCCCCAGTCTCCTCCCATGCCCTTCCGTCCTTGCCAAATATCAGGAGGTCTCTGCCCTTCACATAAACCAGAGAATTAGACCAGGAAGGAACCTTCGAGGTGAGGTCGTCCACCCCTTTCGTTTTATAGATGAGGAAACAGTGTAGAGAGGGAAGTAGCTGTGCCCAGACCTCTGCTTCCCTGCTGTCCCTTGCTGTGACTCCTGCTCTTACTGTGATTACAGATCCTCTGCTCTGAGGTGGCAACATGGGCTGGCAGCCTGCCACCTGCTGCTGCTGCCTTTGCTTCCCTCCCATTTTAATCTGAGGGGAGCCTGAAGTCCCTCTGTGCAAATGCCACAGGCAAGGGGTGATGCCTGCGAGAGAAGACAGAGTCTGTGGCTATGGCACCCTTTGTAAATGGGGGAGCTGCCCGTGTCTGCAGAGCCCAGCTGCCCTCTTCTGACATGGCTTTCTGAGCACTAAGTGGAAATAGGAGGTGTTCAATGGCCTGATTCTCTGATTGCCTGTGGGACCAAAAAGAACAAAAAGTTCTCTTATTCATAATGCCCACTGCCCCCTGGAGCAGCCTGAGCTTCGCAGTCTTGGTCTTGTGCTTACTGCCAGGACTGGTAGGGAAAGTGACACCCCAGCCGTCCTGGGACGGGGAGCAACTGGCAGTCCAAGCGGAGCCTTCTCATTGGCTGCTGCTGATGTCATCACCTCCTAGGTGGACCTTCCCCAGGGAACACCCACCCCTAATTGCTTTGCTTCTTTTAAAAAGCCACCCTGAGAAGAGAACTGACCTTGAACACCTGAAAATGACTCCACCTCGGGCCACCTCCTGCCATGCTGGTGCCCTCGAAATCCCTTTGATATTTGGGGGGCAAGTTCAGTCCTGAGGACCCCACCCTCTTAGGGCTTGGGGTAGCTGCCCACTCCCAAAGGTGACAGGGCACCCTGAGGTCTGGGGGCAGCCCTAATGCAGCCCCTCTGCCCTACCCAGGTCCACCTCAGACATCGGCAGCAAGACCAGAATGGCCGAGTCCACGGGGCCCGAGCCAGCCCAGCTACATGACAGCGCCTCCTTCGCCCAAGTGTCCCGAGGCCCCGTGTCCGTGGCGCAGCTGGATCAGTCGGCTTTAAATTACTCAGGTGGGCAAGAGGAGAAAAGGCCGAGTGTGCCTCTCCCCTGCTGCTGCACTCTCCTTCCCCCCTGCCACCCTCAGGGGCCAAAGCCATTGTGATCTCTTCCAGACTTCAGTAGCCTTGACTAGAAGAGCTACTGGTTTTATTTCTTAAAAAGATCTGAAATGGGCAAAATACCAAGTTATGCTAAGATCACGGTGTATGTTAACATTTTACCAGACTTCTGTTTGCTTGTTCTCTTTGTTTTTATCTTTGAGGATTACAGACACAGCTATTCACGCCCCATCTCATTCCCCATCTCCCCAGAGGAGACAGTCCTCAAGTCGCAGGTTTTAGTCTTTTGCTACATGTGTATCTATATATAATGGTATATATTAATGTTTTATGTGTTTTAAATTTACATCAGTGATATCGTGCTGTATGCTTCTTTTTGTACTAGGCTTTCTGATTCAACATTTTCAAGATTTTTCCAAGTTCCTACATACATATAGATCTAGTGCATTTACTTAAACTGCCATATGGTGTTCTAGTACATGGCATACCACACTTTATCCTTTTCCCTATGGATAGACATAGTGGTTGTTTCCAGTTTTTTTCTATTACAAACAATGCTGAAATGAACATTAGAGTTTGTACATGACCTAGTTGGGGCTTTACTTTATTCTAACCATATCTTTTAGGCTAAAACTGGAAGTACCCAGTTGCCAACACTTATGGAAGCATTCACAGTGTCCAGAAATTCCACCAGGGATGTCCATTCCTATAGGTTCTTATTCTTGGCTTTTTAAAAATACACATCCTCCTGGGAAGAAGTGAGGTGTCATTCCTCTTGCCAGCAGGTCAGGGGTGCTGGGATGAGGAGGGGGTGTTGGTGAGGGCTCGGCAGGGGAAGTTGAACCATCACTTCTCTGGAAAGCCAGGGCTGAGTCACAGCAATGATGACTTCCTGTACTGGCTGGGCAGGTGAGCAGGCCTGGGGCTGCAGGTGGAGGTCTGTTGCTCCTCCTACCCCCATCCACAGGGCCTTTGTCCTTTATTCACTTGGCCTCTAGGCCACATGCCCTTGAGCAGTGTACCACCGGTGCACCATGGCCCTAGAAGAGTTCCTCAAAGAAGGCAGGCCAGGTTCCCTCCGAACATCCCACCCTCCTCCTTGTTGCTACATCTCCAGGGGTGTTAGCCATCATGGCCAGGGTCCTCTCTACCTTAAAAGGAGCTACATCCCCCAGCAAATGTGACAACCCAGATCAAGCTCCCCTCCACTCAGGTCTGATTTAATGATTCTGGTTTTATTTAGCTCCTGGGTGGCTGGATCCCAGAGACCAGCCTCTCCTAATCTCCCCCATCAATCTCCTCCGTGCCAGGTAATACAGTGCCGGCGGTGTTTGCCATCCCAGCTGCCAGCAGACCTGGCTTCACCGGCTACTTCATCCCGACGCCTCCTTCGTCCTACAGGAGCCAGGCCTGGATGTCCTATGCAGGAGAGAATGAGCTCCCGAGCCAGTGGGCAGATTCGGTGAGACCCTCGCCGACTTGCTTGTAGACCCTCACTTGCTTGATACACTTCAGGGAGAAAATGGGATGCAAGGTTGAGATTGAGTGTTTTGTTTTCTCAGCCCCCCTTCCACTAAGCAGATGGCTTAAGTCAACCATTTTAAAGGAGATGGTGTGAGACACCCTTTGACAGAGGAACTTGAGACCTGCCTTCTAGTCCGGGTTCCACCTCTTTCTAACAGAGCGACCTTAGTCAAGTACATTTTTATAATAAATATCGTTTGTGGAGTACTTTCTATGTGCCAGACACACAGAAAAATGGTTAGATGTTTTGTTTGTATGATCTTATTTCATCTTCACAACAGTTCTAGCAGGGAGGTGTTATTATTCCGAGGACTACTCCCATTTTGCATATGAAGAAACTGAGATCTAGTCAGGTGATAATGACTTTTCTAAAGCTACACAGCAAGTAAGGTGCCATGGCCAGAAATCAAGCCTGCACTTGTCTGGCTCCAAAACTTTCATTAAATTTGTTTCGTCTAGTTATAAAGTTCTGTAAAATTTTAGAGAAATGGCAGAAAATAAAGCATCAGCAACCCAAGACTGAATTACCTTGCACATAGACTCTAAGACTTCTTGCTTGACTTGCAGCTGAGCCCTGGCTTGTCATGGTCTCCCAGCTTCTTCCTTCATTACAAGTAGGAGTATATGGCATAGTGAACCTGGCCCAGCCTGCACCAACCCAGATATTTACACCCAAACCTGCCTTCTGAGTCCCGTGTCAAGGGCTCCTCTGTAAAAAAACAACCAGATGAGAAAAGCCTAGTGAAGGCCTCTAGAGTGTGTTGTCTAGTCTCTTGGATGAGAAAGACAGGCTGTCCCCACCAGCCTGAACCTGAGGGCCCCCTGGTCATTTTAGGAGTCTCAACATTTGGAATAAATCCTAGGGTTAGGAAGCACATTGACACCAAAGTCTGGGTCATCTGTTCTCTCTGTCCAAACCCCTGGGTCCATACTCTTACCCCTACAATGTCAACTCATCGTCGATGTTGGTGTCTGTTCTCATTGTGGCAATACCACATTTAAACGACAGCATCAGGAGTAAAGCTATCCTACAATACGTTAATTTTCCTGATGACCAAAGCTTACCTCTTTAATTTGCAAAACATTTAAAAATATATGCCATCTTGCATAAAAATATTTCTGAAATGAATGATATCCTTCCCTCTCCTTCTTTAAAAAAGGATATGGTATAATTTGTCTCTTATGAGCAACTCAGCATCATTATGATGCCTCACCATACTAAAATGGCATTTGTAGGCTAAGCTCTAATGGTTCATGGGATTATTGCCTCTGTGTCAGATATCTCCACTACTATAACTTTTGGTGTTATTACCATGGCTCAGTATGGTTTTTCTTTGTCTGACCTTGCTCCCAACTGGCACTTTATACTGCTGTCAATGTCCTCACTTCCAGTAATATGCTTATCCTTAAATGTGCTTTTCCTGATGTGCTGTTATCTGCAAATGAGGCATGTCTGAACTCATTAGAATTGTTTGTAAAGTTGGAGTAAATAAGCTCTAGGAGAAGAACTGGAGGGACTCCCTGCTGTTAAGTCTGCAGATCTTAATGTGGGACTTTATGACATCTGTTTTGGTTGTTGGGGCTTTTTTTTTTTTTTTTGTCTTCCTTTGTCATTCAAAACAGCTGACATCATTGGATATGATTTGATCAGTTTGGAACTTACTTGGCTCTGTAATTCCCCTTACTTTTTTATATGGCAAAAAGTAGATAATATTTAACTTGTCCTAATCCGACAGTAAGTCTGCAGCTTTGAAAGCTCACCCACTGTGTGCAGACTGTTCTTCTGGGTACTCCGTGGGGGTTGGCAGAAGTATTTTCCAAAACCTTGACCCTTGCCCTCAAGACACTTGCAAATGATAACTTAGTTAGGCTATAGCTAATCTAGATGCCTTTAGGTTCATATTGCCTTAAAGATGAAGGAAAAAAGCCCAGCAAACGGAAACCTAACCTTCCTGACAGGATGACTGGATCATTCTAGTCTCATCTCTCTCAGTGTGAAGGAGAAAAAAGTTCCTATTTGTTATTTTTAATTAAGAGGAAGGTGGTTGTTGCAGCTAAATGGGTCTTTCCTGGAACCCAATTACCACCTGCAGTTAATGAGGGAGGCATGCCCATGCATGGAGCAAGCGGACAGGACAGGTGAGTTACAGCATGGGAAAGACATTGCAGGAAGCTCAGGGATCAGTTGTCAGCTTGACAAAGATGCCCCATTAGGGCAGGGATAATGCACACTCTGCACATCGATGTGAAAAGGAAAGGCCCCTACCATCATTTGGATGTCTGACCTTCCTGACCCCAGGAGCTAGCTTGGATAAAATCACCTGGACCTGGGATGACAATAGGTTTCATCCTTGCTGCTAGATGAAGGATTGGGTGGGGGCTGCCAGGCTCAGCAAGAAACTGTGCTGTGATCAATTGGTGATGTCTGCCATGGGTAGTGGCTAGGGAATTAGTAGTATCTGCTAGGTGGGAATTTTGGCCAGCAAGGCCTGATGGCTCCAGCCTGCATCTACCATAAGGGAGGAAGAGTTTCTCATTTTTCAAGAAACCAAGATCATATCCTGGATCCAAGAAATTGTAGTGCGGTGATTAACTCGCAGCCCTGGGGCCAGACAGACCTGCGCAAAGCATGTCTTGGTGGCTTGTCACTTTAGACAGTGGCAGTCTTCACTTCAGTTTCCTCATCCTTAAAATAAAGATTATAATAACTACCTCCTCCTAGGTTGTTGCTTTGAGAATTAAATGAAATAATGTATGGAAAGCCCTTAGCACAGAGCTCAATCAGTGAATAACTATTATTGATAATAAATCCCTGAGTTCCTTTGAGATCCATAAACAGCAATAGTTGTTTGCTGGACTGTGCTTATATTAATAAGGTAGCCAGGTGGATTCAGATAGACTCAGATATATTCCTAATGTTTTCAACGAGGTTTGAAATACCCATTTAATTCATCCAGCTGGAATATTTAGTGAATCCAAATTACCTGTTTTCTACACAAACTGACCCCTGGCTTTGTATCTGTACAATGATGATGCATGGACTCCAGTGTCTTCTAAATCCCTTTCCTTGTGACCGATCCCCTCCTGCTTCAAGTATCAAGTGTGCCCTATGATATCTCACCCCAGGCCCTTCTCCTCTCTCTGCTCATGCCCTCCCTGCAGGTCCCACTCCCAGGGTACATCGAGGCTTACCCCCGGTCCCGCTATCAGCAGAGCTCGCCCTCGCGGCTGCCCCGCCAGTACAGCCAACCAGCCAGCATGCACCCCAGCCTGGAGCAGGCCCCAGCACCCTCCACGGCTGCCTCGCAGCAGAGCCTGGCGGAAAACGACCCGTCCGATGCACCCCTGACCAACATCTCCACTGCAGCCCTGGTGAAGGCCATTCGGGAAGAAGTGGCCAAGCTGGCCAAGAAACAGACGGACATGTTTGAGTTCCAGGTCTAATGCCTTAGCTCCGTGGGACTCTGGACTTGCAAACTCCAAGGAGATAGTCTTTGGGTGTCTCACGCCTAAAGTGTTGGGACTTGAGATATAGACAGTGAGTGAGTATTTGGCACCCTCAGTTTCTGATGAGGTGAATAATGGGGCTTCTGGAAAACAGGAAACTCTTGAACGAATGGATTCTTGGCTTATTCAAGTGATTGTGTGTCAAAAAGTCCCCACTTGGGACCTATGTTTCTACTCTGTTACGTCGAATGTTTGAACTGGGAGGTTATTTCCCTATGGAGCCTTAGTCACAAGAGGCACTAACTGATCTACAGATTCCTGTCCAATGCCATATTTTAATAAATCACCAAAAGGGGGAGAATACAGCTCTGTCTTTGGTGACCTCTGCATGTTAACTCTGTTTCTGTGCTAAAGGCAAAGCAGGAGTGTGGATTCAGCACCAGACTGTACTCTCTCTCATTCAGCCGTGACCATGACCATTAGAATCATCTCTAGTCTGCAAAGGAGACACTGACTCCAGTCATGAAACTTGAGTCCTTTCTTTCAAAGGTTTGTATTCAAAGTCGAATGAATTGGATGAAAGTCAGTACCAATGCCTGCACCTATAAATAGTCCTGACTCTCCCCGCTCCCCATTAATTAAACAATGGCTGAGAGAGAGAGAGAGAGAGAGAGAAGATGAGAGGCAATGATGAATTTGTGTCACAGGTTTTTAAAAAAGTGTTGCCATTCTGGAAATAGAGTACCCTACAAGTTGGGATCTAACTGAAAGAGAATCGGTGCTAAGAGCTCTTAAGATTCTATCAGAGAAAAACAGTTATTTGTGGAGGTTTTTCTTGGCCCTTCATTGAAGGTGGCCTGAGAACGGAGCTTCTCTCTTTTTTGAGATAATAGATAACATCGACTTTTACAAGAAAACCTCTGTTTCTTCAACAAGGAAATCCAGCATGTGCTGCCGAGTGGTACAAAAGGAAATAGTTGATGATTACTGTTAGAAACAGGAGTGGTGGATCCACAGTCTTCCCAGGCTGCAGCCTCTGTTTATAGAAGCTTCTGAATGTAGAAAATCTGTTGATTTACATTTAAATGTAAATAACCTTTTTTAAAGTGTGTGGAGTTAGCCAGTTCCCCATAGGTAATGGACACAGGAGGACACTGGCTGAAATGACAGGGTCACCTTATGACCGTGATGTTGCAAATCACTGTCCCTGGCATGGCGAGTTGGCCTCGAGACTCTGGGTGGGGGACAGTGGCTCGAGCACTGAGGCTCCAGCCTCTGACTACGCAGTAACACAAGCAAACCAGCTACTGACTCTGGGTAGCAGAGGAAGAGGGAACACTTTGGTTCCCCCCAACTTTGGAAGCTATGTGCGGTGTTGGGGGCTTCCTTGGTATCTGCTGGAGGATGAGGAAGTCCTGTCCTGCCTTCCCCTGTGATCCATCTCGCTTCAGCTCTGTCCATTCCCTTTTGAGCCCATCTTTCCATTGTCCTCATGAGTTTCTTTGGTCTTTACTGAAAGAAGAAGGTGGAAATTTTAAAGTTGAGAGAAGAGTAGGAATGGAACTGATCAGACTGGGAGATTCAAACTGTCAAAGCACAGACTTTTCAAAGAAGCTGTTTTTATTTCCCAATGGCAAATTGCCCTTTCTGGAATGTTCAGAGATGATGTGTAATGAGATTTCCAAACAAGTCTCTTGTTCGGATGATATTAGGTAGTGTCCTTTTAGTGTGCTGGTTGATCTTTCATAGTGTTAGTTTTTTGTTACTTAAAAAGAAATCAGCTATAAATAAAATGTATTTTTGTAATTTCCATGTGTATATATGGTATATTTCTACCAATGGCCAGTTGTTGTAGTCCAAAACCTAAATCCGCTTGCAAAACACTGTGGACAGTGCAAGATTTCAGTGACGGATTAACACAATGCCTAAGTCTATCCAAATAGGCAGTCAATGCACTTGAATGAACAAAGAGCCAAAGAAACTCAGCCTTTTCATGCAAATGGTATGAGTCTGATAAAGTCAGCTACATTGTCCCGCTTTATCAATAATATTAATATTTCATCAGTGCAATGATATCAACCCAGTGCTTTGTCTATTTGGTAAATGCCTGGAAATACTGTATGTGAAAATGAAGTTTCAAGACCTTAATGTGATTGAAATATATGTATATGTTTCAAAAGACAGTGTCTGAGCTTTGGATGTTCCAGTGACTTTCAGAAAATGAGTCGATAGTTTACAGAGGTACAGTTTGCAGATTGCTAAGAGGATAGAGCCACAAATCTCTGTGGTCTTTGCATCACCCTATAAAATATTGAGTTATTCAGCTGACACAACTAAAGATATAGTGAATCAGACACTCTCTTAAAGTAGACACTATGGGTTCAAGAAAAAGTAGATGAGAGGAAAACCTTAAGCTGAAAAGAAATCAATCTGTTCATGTTTTCCCACCAATGGGGAGACAGTTGCCATTGTTTGATTTTCTGTGACTAAGATGTGGTCCCTTCTCTGAAGAGTCTCCTGATGTCTTGGAGGTGACCAATACCTGGATAGATGACTGAGAAAAGGCAGGTGGTCAAAAGTGCCTCATGGCAGTGAGAACAGGGTTCCATGAGAGCCCAGAGGAGGTAGCAATGAACTCTGTGTTTGGGAGAACCCTCCACACAGTCACAGAAGAAGCCACAAAGGACCTCGGTGACCTCAGAAGTGGAAGTGGAAGTCCAGAGAAGTTGAGTGACCGGCCCAAGGATTCCAGCCAAGCCTGTAAACTCGTGGCGACACATTCCTTTAACAGTGCCTGGGAGTGGAAGAAAGAGACAAGGGTCATATGAGGGACTCCATAATGTTCTTGCCAAGAAGAAAGATGCTTGAGTATGTAAGGAACTTCAGATACACTGTATGGAGGACCACACATTTGGGGCGTAATAAACATTTTCTGGCACTGGTTTTGAGATGAGTTTTCTGCGTTTATGAAAAAGAAATGTGATTTGGCTTTTTCCAGAGTACCATCGAGGAAATGGTGTCCTCAATTGCTGTTCAAGACTGTGGGGGTAAGCAACTCTCTTAGCACCATGAATCTAAACAAGCAGGCAGAGATGGCCTGACATCTACCATGTGAGATAGCAGATTCCACACTCTGAATCGGGGGAGTTGATCCCATGTCGCAGGAACATAAAGATCGGCCCGTGGCTCACTTGGGAGAGTGTGGTGCTGATAACACCAAGGCTATGGGTTCGGATTCCATATAGGGATGGCCGGTTTGCTCACTGGGTGAGCGTGGTGCTGACAACACCAAGTCAAGGGTTAAGATCCCCTTACCAGTCATCTTTTTAAAATAAAAAATAAAAAATAAAATAAATAAAAGATTTTTTTTTTTTTCCTTTCTGTCTTTTTTCATGCCCGGCAACGGATCGCAACCCTCAGTGTCGCCCCCGTACCGGACCGGGACCAGCAACGGGATCGCAACCCTCGGTGTTGCTCCCGCCCCTCGCTCAGCCAGTGAGCGGCTGGTCTGTATGTGGGATCCGAACCCTCGGCAGGAACGCCACCGCGCTTCCCAAGCGGTGCACTGTAGCAGTGCGCCACCGGGCCGGCCCAAAAGATATTATTTTTAAAGTCCAAAAATAGGATTTGAACTCAATCCTAAATTCCTCCTACTACACACCAGAAAATAATTTGGACTTTTCTTACAAAATACAGCCAAATACTCTTAAGGAAGTATAATCATTTAACTTAGAATAGTGACTGACTGGGGTCTAAATGATAGAAATTAAATTCTGCCATTTAGTCCAAACTTGTAGGTATTCTAGTCAAGAAACCTTGCAAGGATGAGAAGCCGATTCACGCTGGCTGAAGTGTAGAGGTTGACTGGAAGAATACAGGCACATGTCATAGAAACGGAACACAGCTCCCCACGGGAATGGGATGGGGGCAGCTCTTGCTCTTGCTGTCTTGCACGTTCTCTCTCCTCACCAGCTTTCATCTCTGTTTCTCTGTGTATCTGCTCAGTTCTCTTGCTTCCTTTGGCCAACTGTCTTGCTCATTAGTGCATATGTAGCTGAAAAATCCACCTCAGGACCCACTCCACACAACCTTTCCTTTGCAGTACTCACCACTCTCTGACTAGCATCTCTGTGCCCCTAAGGCAGTTCTTGAGGATCTGATTGGTCCAGTTCATTTGCCTGTGGATGAGCTCCCCTTGGGTCAGGTGTCCATGCAACCAGCTGGAACCAAGAAGGCATTGGTTTTGAGTGAAATTAACATTACTGTGGCTCTGATCTTCCAAATATAATGTAGTGTAAGCATGGCCCTTGGACTGACCCTTTCAATGGGGGCTTTAGTTGGGGGATAGTACCCAGAGGAAGGGGCATGAGTGGGCAGAACCTTCAAAAGGATATTACTAGAGACTGGAGTTGACCAGTACTCCTAGGATGCCACCCAGCAGCCAGTACTCAGAGAACAATCCCTGTGGATACTGCCACAGAGAGGAAAGGGGCATCCTTTACTTATGCATCAGGTGAGAATGCATGCATTCAAAACCCTGGTAGACTGGCCAGAACTGTCCCAACCACTTCCTATGCCAACACCAGTTATCAGTACTGCTGCTGGGTCTAAGAAGTGATTTCTGACCAAGGCCCAGTTAGCACAATGTCTTGCTCAGCAGACAATAACTACTTATAAATTGAATTGCATGGTCTTAGCTCAGGTGCTATAATGTGGCTCCTGGCCACACACTTGCATGGCTTAGAAAACTGATGAGCCTCTCAATAGAGTCTTTTGAAATCAAATTGGTTTCGAGCGGAACTGATTTTATTGTGGCTCTGACCTTCCAAATATAATAAGTTAGTGTCCTGAAAATTGCAAGGTCTCTTGATTTCTTAGGTTTCTCTGTTACAGAATCCTAGCCTCTGGTAAATGTGAAAATGTAGGGTGTTTCCGAAAAGGAATATTTAGGAAATATAATTGTGCCAGAAACAAATTCTTTTAGAAGATATTAAGTTGCTTTGATTCTGTAGGTTTCAAAAATAGGGAAATGTGTGATATGGCAGAATCTATTCCCTTATGTCAAAGCCACACTTTAGTGAGAGCCATTATATAATGAAATCTAGAAATTGATTTTTTTTCATTCTCTGACCTTGGTCAGACTTTTGTAAATTATGGAAGGAGACCATCAGTGCATTTTACATAAATTAACTGTGGCCTCACCTTATTTCCCTTCACCTCTTCCTATCACTAAACTCACCTCACCCCCCACACAAACTGAGTAGAGGAAAGGTTGATGCCAAACAGAGAAGTATCCATGGATTGGAAATTTTGAAAAAGGTGTAAATATTCTAGACCTTGAGCGACTCTCTTTAAACTAGTCTCAGATTCCTTATCCGTCAAATGGGTATAACAATGTCCATACTTCCTACCTCCCGTGGTGGTCGTGGGGTGCACGTAGCATAATGTATCTAAAAATTATTTGAAAAGTATATTTGAAGGAATTCTTACTAAATTATTAGTTTCACAATTCAGTTTTGTCCAGCAAAATGTTTTAGCTCCTCCTGTCCACTGAATTAATTTGTATTGTCACATGTTTCATGAGACAACTCCTTATTAAGGAAAAGTAAAGAAATTCCTAAGTTTGGAATTGCCCACAAAAGCCAGCCTCACCCGGAGTTGCTATTACTGCTGCTGGTGTCTATGCTTTGGAGGGTGTGTAAGTATTTGTACACGTGTTTTAACTCTGGGTGAAAAACCGAGACTGGTGATTCTTTAAAAGCACGTGAGACACATTGGGCAAAGTACTGAACAGAAGCTTTGAATGTAGCTGTTGTTATTTTAATACTTTGCTTTTTAATTAACTTTGTACGTCCTTAGCCTCTGCCAGGAACAGAGTGTTCATATGCTGTTAGAATTTTTTATTGTAAATAAATGACAAAAGCTTTCATACCCCAAAACCTGCCTGCTTCTCATTCTACCTACTCCAGAGGGTGAGATGGAATCCCTTTCACAGCCCAGCCACACTGAAGGTGTCAAAGAAGAGTTGCAGGCCTGGCAGGTCCAATGTGGTCTCAGAAGCCATCCCAGCTTGGGAAGTGAGCTCATGGCCTAAGAAAAGCTCATCCCTGGCCATTCACAGGCACTAGAGAAGCAATTCCAGCCTACCCATGACTTGCAACTAAAGAAAGATGTATTACTGAGGCTGATTGGGTCCCAGGGCAGAAGAAGCCAGTGTCTGCTCAGGTGCCCCTTCTCAGAGGTCAGTGGCTTCCAGGAGTCTAGGGATGACAATGGTATGGGACACAAATTCCCAAGACCACCTACCCATCTCACCCTGTGCTAGTCCCAGCCACCATGATGCCTGCCTATCCCAAGACCATAGGTTGTGCTGCCTGCTCTGCCCTCTGGCTTATGCGATTGGAAAGGAGAGACATCGACCCAGGAGCCACAAACTCATAGGCTGACCAGCCACGAAAATGTGGCTCAGCATGTGAGCTGGGCCAACTGGACTCTCTCTTGAGGAAATACCAAGAAACAGAATCTGATAGCAGCAGATGTTGAAACCGGAAGTCAAGTTTCAGAGAGTCCTCGATGGGCTGTATTCTAAGCAAAGATCTAAGGAAGCAAAAGCAGACTATTTGAGCAGCTTTAAGGCTGAGGAGATTTAGAGTAGATGTGAGGAAGCCTGTCTCTTATAACACAAAAAACCGCAAACAAACCAACTCAAACATGTCTGAGGAGTCCCTATGCCCAGTGGCCAGTCACAACTCCAGACTTATGGCTCCATTGAGACTTGGGCAGCAACATGGTGCTGCTTCTCACTGGAGCCTAATTTGCAGAAGATCTCTGCAAGTACTTAGAAAGTACTTAGAGACTGAAGGGGCGAGTTTTTACTCTGCTTCTCTTTAAAGAGGGCTCAAATATGCACAAAAGACACCCTCAAAGCCACTCTCTTGCTGCAACGATGAGGAATGAACTTGGAGCCCCCACAAAATGCTCTTTGTGAGGCTCACTATGGGGTGAAGACCATTGCAGACAATAGTACACATGGGTCCAGGAACTGCAAGGTTCCCTCCTCCTCCAATTTCTTTTTCCTTCCTCCTGGACCCTGGCTGCTTTTAGCTTTCAGGACAAGTGAAATGATCAAGTGAAAGGAAATGATTGTGCTTACTTCAGTACCAGGAATGGGAGACAGACACAGATCCAGGGAGCTGGAAAAGGCATGTGGCAAACCCAGCTTCTTGCTGTGTCCCCATCGGAAATAGAAGAGCATACTATTCCAAAGGACAGTCTCTAAACTTCTCTGAGTAAATGCCATGAGCTCTGCTGGAAACCAGAAAAATGTACCTAGGAAGGAGTGTGGAACCAAATGATGGAAACATTAGTGGGGATTGACCACCTGTAACGTGTACCCAGATGGTTAGTGGGTGCTATGGACTGAATGCTTGTGTCCTCCCTCAAATTCATATGTTGAAACATAATCCCTAATGTATATTTGGAGGTGGGGCCTTTGGGAGGTGATTAGGTCATGAGTCTTCATGAATAAGATTGGTGCACTTGTAAAAGAGGTCCCAGAGAGCTTCCTCGCCCCTTTCACCATCTATGAACCAGGAAGCAGGCCCTCACCAGACACCAAATCTGTTGGAACCTTGTTCTTGGACTTTGCAGATCAGAACCATGAGAAATTTCAGTTTTTTGTAAGCCACCTAGTTTATAGTATTTTGTTATAGCTGCTGGAACAGACTGAGACAGTAGGAAACAATGGTGTTCAGTCTCTGACATTTTGGAGGTACAGTATAACCAATACTGGTTTGCACAGTTCAGCACTTTGTTGTTGTTTTTTTTTTTTTTCCTTTTTGTCTTTTTCACTGACCGGCAACGGGATCGCAACCCTCGGTGTCGCGCCCACTCCGCGCTCAGTCAGTGAGTGGGAACTGGTCTCCACATGGGATCCGAACCCT